ATCTCCACCTTCATCCTGATCGTCTCCTAAAAGGTCGTATCCTCCGATCGTAGCTGATCGTAACCATTCAAGTTAACGTGTCGATTTACACCGACTTCTTTCCGTTCCTCTGCCGATCGCCGGACTCCTCAGCTGATCACAAGAGTTCTATTTTTTCTGGACGCCGGAGCATGGCGGATAAATTCAGCACAGATTAACCCGTGCTGGAAAGGAAGTCGGACACAGACACAAAATAAAACATCCGGCTTCTTTTCAAAATAAAACATCCGGCTTCTTTTCAAAATAAAACACTCCGTGTTTCAGGAGGATCGTATTTCACACCATGCAAACGGGCGGAGACGAACAAGTGAAAGGTTTTTAGACGTCATTTCACCCTGATGACACCATGGATGAGGAGATGCTGATTCTAGAAGTCTAGAAGTAGATTTCCTCCTCTGGAAGGACACAATCTACTGCTTATATGTCTATGTGTCTGTCTTTAGAGAGACAACTCGTTATCGTGAGATTGAACGTGAATCTGCGGGTTCTTGTGAGTTCTTCTGATTACTGCTGTCCGTAATACGCCATGAAATTCGCCTCACAAACGGATCGGGTAGGAATTGGTAGACGGTGAAAAGATCGGAGTCGTTCAGGAGCCGGTGAAAATTGGGGGTTAGTTTAGCTTAGCAATCCAGAGAAGCTAGAACCAAGTAAGCCAAGTCTTACCGAGCTCAGGTGAGTCCACAGTTGGCTGCAGGTGAGCATCAGGTGTGGTCTGAGTATGAGGGACTGATGGCCTCAGAGACTCTGGGACATGCAGTTTGAGAGCCTCCTACAATAAGGAGAGAAGTTTAATAAACCACGACAACCAGTCAGCGCCCCCCAGAGGCCCCAGAGTGAACTTCACCAGCAGCTAGTTGATGTTAGTAACTGTGTCAGACAGGTAAGGTGAGACAGGTAGATGACTGAGCAGGTAAGAGTCTCACCTTTGATGTGAAGGAGATAAACAACTGCTCCTCCACCTCCTCCAGATTCGGCTTCATGAGGGTGTAGGTGGAGTTGTCCGTCTCTATGGCGATATTGGGGACCTTCCGTCGGCGATTCTCCTTCCTGCAGCGGGGGGGTTTGTTTGCTGGAACCGCCTGCGGGGGCTGAGACACCTCCTGTGTGTCTTCTTCACCTGTACTCTGAGAAGGACAGGTAGCAGCCGCCGTCTCTGAGTTTGAGAACTCCACGCCGATCCCCAGGTCGTCATTGATCGAGAAAAAGTGCACAAGGTCAGCAAGCGATGGCGTTGGCGACAAACCGTCTCCGTCTAACGAGGAGAAGGTGGGAGACAGTGACAGTTGGAGAGGGGACAGCTCTGCCGGGAAGGGAAGCACCTGATCGTTCACCTGGAATGACGGGGACGCCTCATGGGGGGTCGCGGGGGGGTCATGTGGGTTGAGGAGGGGCGGGGTCTCTGAAGGCAGCACAGGTGAGGTCACTGAGGTCAAAGGGAGAGTAGGAGGTGTGGCCTGAAATGTGGAGGAGTCGTCGTAGTTCTCAGGTGGAGGTAGGACTGTGTGCCATTTGAACACTGATGCAGCAGAACCGTCTCGGAACACCTCAGGGGGATCTATCTGGGGTTCTGGAGGTGTGGGGTCCAGGTCCAGAGTCAAGGAGACTGGCAACAAAGGTAACGACTCAGCAGAACTCGCCGGGGATAGAGGTTCAAAGTTAAAGGAGGAGCACTCGGGGTCCGGGAGCAGGGAATCGGACCTCATGGTGGAGTGGTCTGAGGGAGCAGTGCCAGGAGCAAATACTGATGAAGAAGTAAGAGATGAAGGTTCTGAGGAAGACCGGTTCTGATCCGAGCTACAGGACACAGGAGGAAAATCAGCCAGCTCTGGACCTCTTCTTCCAGAATCTGAACAGAGGGAATCTGGAGTTCTAGGTCTGTTTGGTTCTGAAATCCACGGATCCAGAGTTCTGAGATTGTTTGAGTCTGACACTGATGGACCTAGAGGTCTGGGTTTGTTTGGGTCTGAAACAGATGGATCTAGAGGTCTGGGTTTGTTTGGGTCTGAAACTGATGGATCCACAGTTCTGGGTTTGTCTGGGTCCGTTGGAACAGGAGCATCAGTCAGGGTTTGGGTAGGGAAGAGCTTGTCTGGGAGGTGGTCCATTTGATCAGTTTTGGGTTTGGATAGAGTTTGAGGTTCTGGTCCTTGGGGAGGCGGGTCAGTCCTGCTCTTGGTTCTTCTGGCCTTTGTGGAGTGCTGCTTTAGAAACAGAGCCAGAGCAGGAAGAGGAAGAGGAACCGGACGTTTGTGCGGTTTGACTTTGTCCTCTGATGGACCTTCAGGCTTCTTTCCAAGGTCTGAGTCCACAGAAGAAGAAGCAGCACTGTCAGGTCTCATGGTGGCCCTGCAGTCCACAGAGGTCTGAAGGTCCTGGTTCTCTTTCCTCTCAGGTCCAGACGGTGCTGGCACTGTGACAGATCTTCCGTCCCCTGGTCCGTTGTGTTTCTGAGTCATGGTTTTGGTGGTGGTCTGCTCGGTCCCGTGGCAGACGTTGGTGCTCAGCTGCTTCAGGTTACATCTTTGTAGAGAAACGTGAGCTTCACGAATCAGCTCGGAAAATAACTTCTGAGGAGGTGAAGGAGGAGAGCTGGAGAAAACAAACCATGGACACGGGTGAGACGCTGAAACAGAACTCTGGACACAGTCAAGTCTAAGACAAAAAACGGATACAGCAGAATATGGTGATATTTTCTCTGGTGATTTATCGGATCATCTCGTTTACCAAGTTTCTGTTTCTGTTGTTAATATGAAGACAAAACTATGATAATGTAAAAAAAAAGGTTGGCAGAGGTGACATCATAGAGCAGGAGAAAGTCAGTGCAACAAATATATTTATAAGGTGAACAAGGTGTGGTACATGACAATAAAATACAGCGTAAATACGACAAACATGAAGGAAAGACGAACGATAAATTAGCTGATGAAAAAAACTGTAGAATTCCCAATATATTGAATCGTGATAATATCGTACCATGGGGCCACTGGTGATCCCCCCCTTACACACCATTATACAGCATGACCCAGTGTGTGTGTGTGTGTGTGTGTGTGTGTGTGTGTGTGTGTGTGACAGACTGTTTCCCGGTCACTCAGGTTCATCGCCACAATTTTAAATGTTGAAACTGAAAAATCACGTTTGTAAAAAAACGGTTTCAGGTTCACGTTCCTCATGGAGCTTCCTCAGATCTTCTTTTACCAACCCTCTGTAGACCTTAGAGAACCCAGCAGACCGGGTTCTGTAGACCTTACAGAACCCAGCAGACCAGGTTCTATAGACCTTACAGAACCCAGCAGACCGGGTTCTGTAGACCTTAGAGAACCCAGCAGACCGGGTTCTGTAGACCTTAGAGAACCCAGCAGACCGGGTTCTAAAGACCTTAGAAAACCCAGCAGACCGGGTTCTATAGACCTTAGAAAACCCAGCAGACCGGGTTCTGGAGTCTGACAGTCAAATCTTGTCCCTGATTGAGGATTTCGGCTGCTCCACAGTTCAGGGTCTCCTTGGTCCTGTTTTTGGGGTCATGATGCTCCAAATGTTTTCAATGGGGCACAAGTCAGGACCACATCAGTCCAGTTCTTCAGCAGAACTCTTCTCCAACAGAACCATGCTGTTGTCAGAAGGTGGTCCTGGATCATATGAAGGTCTTCCTTGAAGAAGTCCTGGTCTGGATGGATGCAGATGTTGGTCCTAAACCTGGAGTTCTTGTTCAGCATTAATTGGTTCTGGTTTTGGTTCCTTTAGTACAGAGATTTCTCTGAAAGATCTGATGTTCTGTAGACGATGAAATCCACTGAGGAACGTGCGAGCGAACAGTGAAGTATGAACCCAGTGAACTGTTCGCTCACACGGTCTCTCACAGAGTCCTGAACCTCTGAGGGACTCAGACTCTCTGAAGGTCCGTCTTAGACCCGGTCATGTGACTACCCTGTTGGACCTTGACCTCATTCCTCCAGATGTTTATTTAGCGGTATACCTGTTCTGTTGTTCCTCTATCAGAACTTTTTGTCTATAGTGAAGTATTTTTCAGTTCTGACCTTTGTTTTGTTTTATTAAATTTAGACTCTACATGATTTGAAAAACATTAAATTATTTTTTAACAAAACTTCACACTCGCTCATTCTGGTTTTTTCGTATTTTTTATGTGAGTTGTGCACAAAGTACAAACTCTTGAAAGGTCAGAGGCGAACTCCACATCATTAATGGAGCTAAAAAAGTTAAATGTCTGAAAAAGTTCATCTTTCATATCTTTTTTTTTCATCGTAGAGAGTGTGAAATATTTACAGATTACAGCTCATTAAAACCTAAAATCCACAAACATCTCAATCATCAGAATTTTGTGGGAAAGTCCCGTTTCTTGTCAGCTGATTAACTCTGAACCCCTAAAAGGTTTCCTGAACCTTTATTTTCTGACTCTGGTTCAGTACACAAAGCCACAGTCCGGGTTCAGACTGCTGACCCCCGCCCACCCACCAATGAGGATCAGACTCAGATGGTCACGGCTGTTAAGTCACAGAGTCTGGATGAAGCAGATTCATGAAAGTTTACTGAGGGGAAAACAAGACCAAGAAACAGATCTTCACAAGGACTGGACTGAGGCTGGAGTAAGAGTTTCAAGAGCCTCTACACAAAGACCAGGTCAGGAAGTGGACTACAAGGGTTCCTGCTATCGAGCAACATCAGAGAATCCCAGCTGGACCAAGGAGAACAAGACCTGGACTATTGCTTGGAGGTCCAAAGTCCTGTCTTTCAATCAGATTTCCTTTTTCAGCAGGACCTGGTACCTGGGTCCAGAAACTGGTTTGCTGACCACAGCGTTACTGCGCTTGATTGGCAAGTCAACTGGACTGACCTGAACCCTGCAGAGGATCTCTGGAGTTTCATCAAGAGGAAGATGAGTGACACCAGAACGGACACCTGGACTTCACTAAGACCCCAGCAGAGACACAGACTAATCAGCTCCACCACACATACAGGAAGTCCTCCAAGAGGGACCCCGACCGAGAACTGAGAGCAGAGTTCACATGAATTTACATAAAGTTGATGTTTCAGAGTTAAAAAGACGTTTTTTTTGTTTTTTTTAATTCTAATGAACCTGGACTATAAATTTGACTTCTTGAGTTAAATTATTTTGAGATGTGTGTTTTTAATCACTGATCAATCAATCAGTCTTTATTTGGACTGTTCAGAGAGAGCAGGTCTGGACCATACCTTTAGTTTGAGTCCAGTTCAGTTCATTTTAGACAGTAAACTCCACCTTACCGTGAACTCTCCTCGTTGGTCTTTGCAGCCGGCTGATCTCCTTCTGTGGTTGAGTGTTTCTGAAGGCCACATGATGTTGAAGGTTTAGAGTCTGCTGCTTTGGAGCTTCTAGGTCTGTGGTTGGCCAGCAAAGACTTGAGGCTTTTCTTCATGTTGGTTGTGGTGCTTTCATCTTTGTGGACATCTTTCCTGGAGTTCAGCTTCAGGCCTTTGTTTGCTGAGCTGTCCTCCTTCAGGCCTTTGGCAAACGGATTGTAGTCAACTTTTAGCTGAGCGAAGCGATGGTTCTGGTACCCAGTGACAGCCATGAACTCGGTTTGAGGGAAAGTGAAAGTGTAGACGGCTGAACCGCTCAACTTAATGTCTTTAACTGGTTTGTCGGTCTGCACCAGGTGCAGGCGGGGCAGGTAGCGTTGCATGGGGTGCAGGATGGCGTTGCCCTCCCGGTCTGCGATGTTGTTGGTGAGTTTCAGTCTGTAAAAGGACACCGGGGTCTGCATCCAGTTTTGACCTGTAGACGGTGACTCTGGATGACAAAATGGTGTGCTTTTCACGTGAGGCTCCGCCTCCCCAGAAACTTGCCAGCTGCTGCCAGTCCACTCGTACCGGCTGTTGTCCAAAGGCTGAATGTCCATGATCAGCGAGTACTTCCTGGACGGCCGCAGACCGTAAATACGGAAACGGCAGTAGGGGAACATCCTGCTGCCTTGTTTGGTCAGGATCATCTCCGTCCTGCACCTGAAGAACTCGTTCCACATGCTGCTGTTCTCCAACGTCACTCTGACGCCTCTGCAGACACTGTCAGGTGATAAGCCGTCACTTGACAAACTAACCAGGTTCATGGTGGGTTTACCCACTTCAGCAGCCCTGCTTTCTGCCATTCCACCTTCACCTGTCCTTCCTGGTCTAGGAGAAGCAACGCATGCAGGCCGATGTTCTGCTGCTGGTGGGCGGTCCGCTGCAGGTAGGTGGTCCACTGCAGGTGTGGACACCCCCCCCTTAACGAGTACCATCCCTGTCTGCTTCTTCCTGGAAGCCATGAACAGGTTGCCAACATCTAGACAGTGGGAGGATCCAGTTTTTTAGACCTCTGTGACCTAGTTCCTCCTGACATCCTGAAAAAAAGGAGACAAACTCTCATCATCTAATTATCTTACCTGGTGATTCATGGAGAAATTCAGATACTTGAGTCCTAAAACTAACTTCACCGCCGTATTTACAGGAAAATATATCCAACCTAAAACTAACTTCATCGCCGTATTAACAGGAAAAAACATTTGTTCGTTTTTTTTACATGTACGTGACCCTAAATACAGTTTACAATTCGCACGTCTATTTTTTGTCGTAAATGCGAGTGAAACAGTCGCGTTGTCGAGCCCTTTATCTTAGTGTTGAACAGAGTAAACAGGTTCCAGGGTTAGCTGGGGGCTACCACATGTTAATATCTGTTCAAAACCACAGAGCTACACTGTGACAGATGACACTTCATTTTTCTTCTTCTTCTTTAATTCATATGTGTGTTCATTTTAAGTAGTAGAAGAAGAAGTTGCAGTGGCAGGTGTTTCTGTAGCTGGAGGAGCTCACAGTTTTTGAACCTCATTGTCGCCACCATTGTTTAATTTTGCTTTTGTGTTTCTTTTGTTTGCACTTGGTTGCAACAAGTAAGAAAGAATGACGAAAGAAAACTTTGATGAACTGTTTCTTGTTTAGGGAAACTGTAAATCTGGCTAAAAAAGACCTCAGTGGCTTGCAGGATAAGTTGGGTAGGCGATATGAAGTCACTTTACAGCTGCTGAGGAGTTTTATATTTTAGTCTTTATTGTCTAGTTTTCAGGTTTGTGTGTAATCAGATTATCAATCAATCAATCTGTCTTTTTTGTTTTAGCACCAATTCACAACAAATGTAATCTGGTGACACCTAAAACAGCTGATCGAAGCTGACTGCCAAAGATAACGTACTCCAACAACACTTTGAAATATTTGCAGCTGAAGAGCTTTATTATTTTAAATCAAAACCAATCTCTCGTCGTTCCTGCGCTCTCCTTATCGGAGAAAAGTTCTCACCAAAATCCTTTAAGAGAAAAGTACAAACATTGTGTGCTTTGTGCGGAGTCTCAAAAATTCACTGAATGTAAAGAGACGAGATCGACAGGAAGAAGAGACACTTGAAGAATGGCTGAAGGTAACAAAGCACAGACGCAGACGGCTAATGTGAGTTTAAAGCTTCAATATCAGATTCTACATTAGAGCAGAAACTCTTCCACTCCAGATCTGTGCCGAAGACGTAGAGAGGAGAAAGGAACAATGGTGGAACTTTGGGGGTTTATCAGATACTGCAGGAGTTTTTAATCACTTTATCAGACAGAACCTCGGTTCTGTTCAGAACCTCAATATCATTGTGATGGCAGACCAAGTATCAAAAGACGGATTAAAGAAATGTGTCTGTTTACATTTGGACCCAAACGGGAGGACTTCTGAGTAAAGGAGGACGACGTCTTCGACGTGTCCTCAGGGACAAAGATCTTAGACGGACCGCTCATGATGATGGTGAGACTAATATCAGAGGTCATTACAGAGTTTATTACTATTCTCTTCATTATTATTATTATTATTGTTGTACACACACACACACACACACACACACACACACACACACACACAGTTGTAATCTGTTTTTGGTTGTTAAACATGATAAACTCCACAGACAGACAGTTTAAATGAAAAGTTCTGGTCCAAACTCTTTTTTTATACAAAGATCCACATAAATCAGCTCAGACCATCAGTAACTCAGTTTAAAGAAAACATTAACTAATTAACTGACTGACTAATTAACCTGGTTCTGTTTGGTTATCACCCTTTACCAAAGCTTGTTCCTTTGAGTACTTCATACATGTAGTACTTCATATCGCAGTAAAAGTACACGGTTCGGATGGGCTGGGTCATGGTGTAGCCGCGGTTCGTAACCTGGAGCTAAGTTCCCTTTAACAGAGAGCCTGGTGGTGGTCGGGTTCGGCTGGTACTTTCACGAACCTGGCCCTTACCTGGTTCTGTCAGTGTGGTGGACCTGTATCCCTCTCTGAGACTCTCTTTTTAACCCGAACCGAACCACCGTGGAGCTAACAGCAGGCCTCGTGCTCAGCCTGATGGCCTCCATCAAACCTGACCCTCTGCTCGGTTCTGTCTGACCCACAGCCGGGACCCCGAGCCCTCGTTACCTGCAGCAGAACCAACACATCCGTTATTCGGCGGAGCCACGTCAATCCAGCCGTTACTGCGCGCGTGTCCGTCGACGGAACCTCGTGGACATCTTACCGAGCAAAAACTGCACGCGGTATGCTGCACTGTGACGTCGCCGCGCGTCTTTCTACTGCGCAGGCTCCGACGCCATTTTGCTTCTACCACCTGGTTCAAAACCGTCCCGGTGGGTTTCTGTACCGACCCAGGAGGTTCTACCGTCCGGTACCGGCTGAGCAGGAGCGGAAAGGACCTGTTTGTTCCGGAGATCGACCTCCAGCTGCTGGACTGTTTCTGAGATAAAGACTTTATTTGTTTTTACAGATTAAACCGACAGAGAGAGAGAGAGAGAGAGACACCGACGCAGGGAGAGAGAGAGAAAGAGAGACGTAGACGGACAGAGAGAGAGAGAGAGAGAGAGAGGTCAACGTAAACGGACGGAGTTACCGGATAATGTCTCGAAATAACGGACTCAAACCGGGTTTATTGTCCTTATTTCACGGTCTGCCTTCGTCTCCGCAGGACCGGGACCGTCGGCCCTGCCGGCCCCGGGTGTGTGGGTGTCCCGGCGGGGCTCGGTAGGACAGCAGCCCGGTTCCCAGCGCTTATGTTCGGTCACATTTTAGACGATAGTGGTGCTTTTTTTTTAACCTTTATTCACGTGTATCAGCCTGAGACGTGATGGGGGCCGCTTTAATGCAGAAAAGGTAAAAATAAAGATTTTTAAAAACACGAATAACTGCGGTGAGAGACAGGAAACCCTCCCGGAACCAGACAAAGGATCCGCCATGATGGAGCAGCTGCCCAGTCACGGAGGTGAAGACTTCAGTCATAACCGAGAGTCAGATTAAACAGATAATAACCTGTATAAAACAAGATTAATGTGGACACAGGAGAGGAGGAGCGTGTGTGAGAGTCTTTATAACAGGATCTTTAGGAGAGGGAGAGAGGGAGCAGGACTAAACTGTCAGAGGAAGACAATCTCCGTGTTCCCGCCCTATAGGATGTTTCCATGGTGACGCGTTAAATCATAGGGAAACTGACGTCACACGGTACCGCCGACCTCTCGCGGAACGTGACAATAAAACGTACTGTAACGGTTACAGTTATGGTTATAGTAACGGTTACAGCAAGTAATGGTAACTGTTACAGTTACGGCTGTTGTTACAGACACAGTAAGAGCGATAATTACAGTTACAGTAACAAGATATAATTACAGTTACAGTAACAATATAATTACAGTAACAGGTCTATAATTCTGGTCAATATTAAGTGTCTTCAGAGCAGATCCACAACCCTCTCTTTAACCGCTGCTTCTTTGTCCAAAGTTATCGGTTCGAATGGAGCGACATGATCGAGTATCAAACGTGAACCACATATTTTTCTAGTCATTAATAAAACTGTTGTCTTGAATTTAAATAAATGTAAATGTGACAGGCTCTGTTTATGACATTTTCCATTTTCCACGATAGTCTGAAAAGCACCTCGAATCTCACTCAAGCTAATGCTAACATTAGCTTGTCAGAAGTCAGGAATGTACGATTTGACCCGTAGGTTACTGACATTGTAGTGAATGAAACGGAAGTGAGATGACTAATGATGTTCATGAGAATAAACATGAAAATATACGAGAAAAACACAGAAAATATCAGATTAATCGTCTCTGCAGACACAGACTGTAACATTCAGGGGTCAGAATCATCGCAGAGGAATGAAGAGTATCAAAGTGGGACCAATCACTGTGATAGTGGGAAAGTATGATATTTTGGTAGAATAAACCGGAAATATTAGAGGTAGGCAGACAAAAAGTAAAAATATGATAAGTTTAAAAAAAAATGTAAAATTGATCAAATCTAGATCAATATCTAAATATGTGACTGTGGGCACTGATTTAATTTTAAAATAAATTTAAAATCCACATTCATTCACAAAATCCAAAGACTTTTTATTTTGATTGGATAATAATATGTGACTCAGTCACTTATTTATTTATTCACTTGTTTATTAAATTACATTTCTGGATGTGGAACGGCGGCGAAGAAGAGGGTCGTGGATCTGCTTGGCTCTCCGGCTCTGTACTCACTACTATTGGACACGTTAAACGACAAGGAAACTGACATCACACGGTACCGCCGACCTCTCGCAGGACATGACGATAAAACGGTTTCAGTAACGGTTTCAGTGAGTAATGGTAACTGTTACAGTCATGGCTGTTGTTTATATAAACTGTTACAGCATCTATTAAAATAACAACTCTAGCTGTTCACAGCAACTGTTATAGTTTAGTAACCATAGTAACGGTTAAAGTAAATGACAGTTCCAGTCACAGTATCAGCTGAGGAGGGTTTGATAGTCTGCTCACACCAACAGTTAGTATATTGTGATGCAGGTGAGTCTTTACTGTGAAAAGGCGTCTGATGAAGCTCGGTAACGAAATCGGTGGATCATATTCAGGGTTTGGGGGCCACCATGTTGGATCCGAGTCTCTCCTTCACCTCAGTGACGCGAACATGAGGAACGGACTCAAAGATGGAACTTTAGCCCTGAGAATACCTTTACCTGCGATCAGACATTAAAAACACCTTCATCATCACCTGTGTGTGTGTGTGTGTGTGTGTGTCAGGTGTGTGTGTGTGTGTGTGTGTCAGGTGTGTGTGTGTCTCCGTACCTGTTTGGATTCTGGTGTGTGGTTCTGTAAAGATGTTTTATTTATTGTTACATAAATCCTGAAATCAGAGCGCAGCAGTGCGAGAGTCAAGATCAGAATCTTTGGAGGGCGCCGGACCTCGAGGAGGCGGACCTTTGACAGACTTATTGATCTTCAAGGTAACTTGTTTTTATCACAGAAACAATCACCAGCTGCTGCCGTAAGAAACCAGACGGATCAGAATTATTCCAGAATACGCTCTAATGTTGGGGGTTATTCTGAAATATTGATCATGATTTCATTGGAGCTTCATCTAGAAAACTGAAAATTAAAACATGATCAGAATTATACGACCCTTCCGGTGACACATGAACCCTAAAGTAACTGCAGTGTTACCTGTGCAGGTGTGAGTCCCCACTCAGAGGCAGTCCAGGCTAGTTTTACACCTGAGTGGGAACGCAACATGAGACTCACTCACTCACCGCCGCAGTCACAGATTGATCCCCGCTGGCTGACCCCTCCCCCTAACCTTTCTTTTGACAGTGAGTGACACACAACCTTCGTACGTAAGAGGGGCACCAGAGCACCATGGGAAAAAAACGCCTCTGTCCCTACAGGTAGGATTAAACACACCTGATCAGCTGTTAAGGTTACCATGGTAACACCGACAGCAGAAATAGGAAATAGACAGGTAACACTCAGCAACTTCTACTCCACACAGTGGTGTGTGTGTGTGTGTGTGTGTGTGTGTGTGTGTGTGTGTGTGTGTGGTTTAGCCTGCTGACAGAGACTGAACCTCTTACCTGAGCTCAGGTTTGAGCAGGTGAGAAGACTGAGACTGAAAACTCAGGAACCAGACTGTTCAGGGTGAGAGTCAAACTTTTCTGAACCTTCGCTGGTTCACAGGAGCGAGCGCCGGTCTCTCCTGAAGACGCACTTCCTGCTGCAGGTTCAGACGAAACTCTGAGATCTGTAAAGATTCTTACCGACTGTGTCAGAACACATGATCAATGACATACCTGATCAATAACATACCTGATCAATAAAACATAAGTTACCTGATCAATGACACATATGTTACCTGATCAATGACATACCTGATCAATGACATACCTGATCAATAAAACATAAGTTACCTGATCAATGACTCATTACCGAGCTGATTAGTGATTTATTAAACCACACAAATGTGATCAATAACCTTTATCATTGATCTGGTATCAGTGAGTGTCTGGGCTGATCGTGTCGTTCAGGTGTGTCTCACCTGGATCTTACCTGCTCCGTACAGGTGAGACGGATCTTTGAGGCCCTGCAGCGGTCATGTGACCAGAGTCTGGTCATGAAGGTCACATGATGAATCCAGATCGTCGCCAGCTCGCTGTGGTCACATGATCACACCAGTGTTTCCCTCGGCGCCAGATCATCAGTCTAACATGTTCAGATTTAAAGGACTGTGATCATGTGACCACAGCGGCTCTTAAAGGGGCAGTTCACCGTTTTTACCGTGTTTGTCACCTACAGAGGATCCTGCTCAGCTCCGCCCCTTTAACCACGAACTGGTCAGTGCTTCAGGATGTCTTTATTTGGGCCACAGGGCACTGGTCCCGAAAGTCTAGGGGCCCTAAACTAAAGTGTAGGGGCCCTAAAGTAAAGTGTAGGGGCCCTACAGTAAAGTGTAGGGGCCCTAAACTAAAGTGTAGGGGCCCTAAAGTAAAGTGTAGGGGCCCTAAACTAAAGTGTAGGGGCCCTACAGTGAAGTGTAGGGGCCCTAAAGTAAAGTGTAGGGGCCCTAAAGTAAAGTGTAGGGGCCCTAAACTAAAGTGTAGGGGCCCTAAAGTAAAATGTCGGGGCCCTAAACTAAAGTGTAGGGGCCCTACAGTAAAGCGTAGGGGCCGGTGCCTCAGGTTATTCCGTAGATTGTTTCTAATTTTTCTTCCAGACAAACTCAGATCGGCTCTCAGTCCTGCAGCTTCAAGAATTGTGGGAATAATGAAATATGAAAATGTTTAATTGAACTCTGTGTTTTTGTTTTTTTTTCTCTATTGTCTGAATTTTTTGTAAATAAGTGGAAAAATGTTCCTCTTCAGGTCGGCGGGACGAGCCAAAACTAAAAAGAGTGATTATTGGAGTTTTCCAAACGTCTGTCGATCCGTTTTTTTTTTCTGTTGTAAAAATAAAAACTTGAAGCTGGACTGTTTGTTGTCGGTGTGCTCCTTTAAAAAAGATTACAAAGCTGCCAATATTAAAGTTATTGATTATTAGAATGTTCTGAAGAACCTCATCGTTATGTTCTCGCTCTGACAGGAACCTTCCAAAATCACCCAGAGGAGATTTTCTCGTTTATTTTTGAACCTCAAACTAAAAAGTTTTGAACAGGAGAGTTTTTAGAGGTTATTATTGAAACTCTCACAGAGGACACGGAGAGACTCGGTCACTGAGCTGTTTTCTGAACAGACGACATTACGACAGAAAAAACTATTTTAAACTAAAATAATAGAGACGTGTCAGAAACATCAAACTGAGCAGGTCTGCGTTCCACTAGAGGGCGCCAAGAAGCAGCTTTTACTTTCACTGGAGACCTGAGTCAGTGACGTGGAAAAGCTCTAAGTGGGTTTTTACGTTGAGTGGGGTCCTGCTAGACACGCCTCGTGTCTGAAGGTCGCAGGTTTGATTCCCTAACTCTGATTGGCTGCTCTGCGTCCGCCACACTTCCTGTCCGTCTAAATCTGAGATCAAGAAAAACTAAATTAATTTCTAAAACTTGAACCTCGTTTTCCTCGAGTGTCGCTTTACTGTCAGAAGATCGACTCCTCGCTGCCGTAACAGACGGATCTCCAACTCTTCTCCTAAAGGGTCTGTTACCTGTGCAGGTACCAAACCAAGAGGACTGACAGGAACCAGAACAAGTACCAGAACAAGTACCAGAACAAGTACCAGAACACTTCAGAACTCGTGTAAAACGGTTTTAATTTAAATCTTCAACATTTTATTACAGGTGAGAAAAACTTCAGCAGCTCCGGGTTCAAATATCATCAGTCAGAAAAACGTCCCTGTGGTCCCAGAACCTCCGACCCACCAAAGGACCAGAACCGCCGACCCATCAAAGGACCAGAACCTCCGACCCATCAAAGGACCAGAACCTCAATATTGTATCTGTCAGAGTATTTTCTACCTGTTCAGGTAAAACTGCTCTGCTAACAAAACTGTTTCTGTACCAGGAGTCTCTCTGATGAAAGTTTCCAGAGACCAGAACCCAGACCCAGACCCAGACCCGGTACTCTACACAGTAATGGTCTCCAGTATTTGTCCTAAGCTAACATGTCAGAGTGTATAACCACAGAAACGACATTAAAACTTCAGTTTACTCTGAGTACACGTGTTCTCTGTGTTCTCTGTGTACCGTCAGATACTGTCAGATACTCTGTATGTTGTGCTTTCTCAGGATCATCCAGTACAGTGTGTGTTAGTGTGTTAAAGTGTGTGTGTTACAGTGTGTGTTACAGTGTGTGTTAGTGTGTGTGTGTGTTACAGTGTGTGTGTTTTCAGTGACCTGACAGTTTTGTTGAATTCCCCCCCCCACCCCCCCCCCCGCTGCGCCCCTCTGATTGGCTTACTGAAGAGCTATGGTCCAATCAGATGGTAGTGGGGTTTGGGGGCGGGGCTCAGACGTTGATGACCACGTCTTCCTCCTCGTCTTTCACCTCCTCAGGTAGAGCATCCAAAGACTCTCTCCTCCTCCCACCTCTCAGCTCCTCCCCCTGCTCCCCCTCAGGGGGGCCACAGGCGGGGCCGATGATGTACCTGTAGTCGCCTCCTATGGCGAGTGCGGCCCCTGATCCCAGCATCAACCACTCCTCCTCCTCCTCCTGCCCCTCCCTATGCTGCCAGGCCACGCCCCAGCTGGAAACTCCGGCCGCCGTCACCTTCTCCTCCTCCCCCCTGACTCCTCCCAGCTCCCCCTCCTCTCCCTCCAGGTTCACATAGAGCAGTGGCTCCTTTGACACGGGGGCGGGGCAGATGCTGAGCCACAGCGCCTCCAGCTGGTCAACTAGGTGTTTGAAACTTGGCCGGCATTTAGGAACTGGACTCCAGCAGCCGTGCATGATTTCATAACTGGGAAAGACACCAACAAAGAAGAAGAAGAGGAAGAAGAAGAGGAAGAAGAAGAAGAAGAGGAAGAGGAAGGAGAAGAAGAAGAAGAAACAGGAAATTAAAGGAAACATCAGGAACCTCCCCTTTAACCTGAGAACCTGACGGAGCCGCCTGTGAGACAAAACTGAGGGGATAAAAAACTCCATCTGTGTCTCTGATTCAGGTAACGATGATTGTTTTGCAGCCCTGAGTTTTGCCTCACAGGAGCCCCCCCACAGATCAACCAGTCCATGACTTAGTGTGTGTTAAATCGTGTGTGTGTGTGTGTGTGTGTATCTGCTCACATATCGTCTCTGCACTGCGCAGGTTTCTTCAGTCTCTCGCCTTTGATCAGAAACTCGTAAATCTCCGAGTTTTCCACACCGGGATACGGAGTCTGACCTCGGGTCATGACCTCCCACATGGTCACACCAAACGCCCACTGACACACACACACATGCAATACACACAAACACACACACAAATAGACACATGAACATAATCTATATATTTATTAATTTGCAGATCAGTGTGTATTGCGTGTGTGTGTGTATTGCGTGTGTGTGTGTGTATGTTGTGTGTGTACCACGTCGCTCTGAGTTGTGTACACGTTGTCTGACAGACTCTCCAGGGCGATCCACTTCACAGGAAGTTTGGACACCGATCCTTGTCGGTAATAATCTCCGCTGTAGATCTTCTTAGAGAGGCCGAAGTCTGCCACACACACACTCATGTTCTCATCCAGCCTGAAAACACACACACACACACACACACACACACACACACACCTGAATTCGTCGTGTTTGAACTTCCTGTCAGGTGTGTGAGGAAGACGATGATGAAGATGAACAGAGCAAAAGTCTAAACCAACACAAAATCACCCCGAAGTGAGACGGGTCACCAACGCCGTTTAAACACGACGTCTGTTTTCAGTGTTGAGGGTTCGACTCTCTGCTGTTTGATCAAGTTTCATGTTTGGAAACGACAAAAACTCCAAAACAAATCCTCACAGCAAAAATCTGTAGTTTGTCCCCCTGTAGTTTGTCCCTCTGTAGTTTGTCTCCCTGTAGTTTGTCCCCCTGTAGTTTGTCACTCTGTAGTTTGTCTCCCTGTAGTTTGTCCCCCTGTAGTTTGTCTCTCTGTAGTTTGTCCCCCTGTAGTTTGTCTCTCTGTAGTTTGTCCCCCTGTAGTTTGTCACTCTGTAGTTTGTCTCTCTGTAGTTTGTCCCCCTGTAGTTTGTCTCTCTGTAGTTTGTCACTCTGTAGTTTGTCTCCCTGTAGTTTGTCCCCCTGAAGTTTGTCTCTCTGTAGTTTGTCCCCCTGTAGTTTGTCCCCCTGTAGTTTGTCCCCCTGTAGTTTGTCACTCTGCAGTTTGTCTCCCTGTAGTTTGTCTCTCTGTAGTTTGTCACTCTGTAGTTTGTCTCCCTGTAGTTTGTCCCCCTGAAGTTTGTCTCTCTGTAGTTTGTCCCCCTGTAGTTTGTCTCTCTGTAGTTTGTCATTGTTTAATTTGTCTCTGTGTAGTTTGTCCCTCTGTAGTTTGTCTCTCTGTAGTTTGTCACTCTGTAGTTTGTCTCCCTGTAGTTTGTCCCCCTGAAGTTTGTCTCTCTGTAGTTTGTCCCCCTGTAGTTTGTCCCCCTGTAGTTTGTCTCTCTGTAGTTTGTCCCCCTGTAGTTTGTCTCTCTGTAGTTTGTCCCCCTGTAGTTTGTCCCCCTGTAGTTTGTCTCTCTGTAGTTTGTCCCCCTGTAGTTTGTCTCTCTGTAGTTTGTCTCTCTGTAGTCTGTCTCTCTGTAGTTTGTCCCCCTGTAGTTTGTCTCTCTGTAGTTTGTCCCCCTGTAGTTTGTCTCTCTGTAGTTTGTCCCTCTGTAGTTTGTCTCTCTGTAGTTTGTCCCCCTGTAGTTTGTCTCTCTGTAGTTTGTCTCCCTGTAGTTTGTCCCCCTGTAGTTTGTCTCTCTGTAGTTTGTCCCCCTGTAGTTTGTCTCTCTGTAGTTTGTCCCCCTGTAGTTTGTCTCTCTGTAGTTTGTCCCTCTGTAGTTTGTCTCTCTGTAGTTTGTCCCCCTGTAGTTTGTCTCTCTGTAGTTTGTCTCCCTGTAGTTTGTTGACTGACTTACATGCAGTTTCTTGCTGCCAGGTCTCGGTGGATGATGTTCCTGCTGCTCAGATATTCCATCCCTCGAGCGATGTCCAACATGAACCTGAGGAGAGTCTGGAGGGACAGATCCTGGAAGACAAGAGGACATGGTTGGACTGAGGGGTGTGTCTGTGTGATTGTGATATTTTTTAACTTTCATCTTTTTATTAAATTTTCTTTTTTTTTCGGTGTTTTTTTTCGTACAAACGGGTTTTCTCCGAGTCGTGACAGCAGCAGGAACGTGTGCAGGTCACCGTGTTTCATAAACGGGAGGATGACCATGGGGATCGGCAGCCGCTGGCCGGGGCGCCGATGAAGACTCACTCCTATTGGACAGGAAGAGCTGTCAGTCAAACAGCATTTAACCTTTGACCCCTGCTAGTATAGGTCGAGTGTTTTTACCGATCAGCTGGATGACGTTGGGGTGGTGGAAATCCTTCATGTAGGCGGCTTCCTTCAGACACTGTTCGATGTCCCCTGATGACGTGACGTCAGCTGCACACACACACACACACACACACACACACACACACACACACACACACACACACAAACACACACACACACACACACACACACACACACACACACACACACACACACTTGAGCTGAGTCATCACTTTTACTCTACAGTTAAATGTTTGTGAGCGACAGTTTGGTCCGGTTTTATCCGGTTTGATCCAGTTTGATCAGTTTTATTGTTTTTGGTCTTGAAAATTATTTGACGTCTCGGTCTGTTTCGCCTCTTGACCTCCTGGTTTAGAGGAAGTTTGTGTCGATTTTAAATCAGAACAAAACGTGTCGTTAAAATATTTAAATATGAATTCATAAAAACATGTCGAACTCACATTTGTGTGTCAGTCTAGATACTAAAGGCCTAAAGCTGTTTTAACCAATCACAGTTCTCCTTTATGAAGACATCACACTGCACTTCCTGTTACAACACACACACACACACACACACACACACACACACACACCAAAAAAAATGCCACACTTACATTTCAGCACTTTGACCGCCACCTTCTGGACAGATGAGTCCTCCGTCTTTAGGAAAGCCTCACGCACTGACCCGAACTCACCTAGACAGGTACACACACACACACACACACACACACACACACACACACACACCTGTTTAATGTGTGTGATCAGCTGTGTCATGTCGGTGACCCGAACAGGTTCTGGTTTTGTTGGATCTGGTTCCTCTGCTGACACCAGACTTTACCGGGTCTGACGGGATTTTGAAGAACTTCCTCTGTAGTTCTAAACGTCTCTGACGGTCCAGTTTGTCTGAGGTGACTCTTACTGACTCTTACTGACTCTTACTGACTGTTTCTGACTCTTACTGACTGTTTCTGACTCTTACTGACTGTTTCTGACTGTTTCTGACTCTTACTGACTGTTTCTGACTGTTTCTGACTGTCAGTTTAATCGTGTTTCATTTCTTCCTGTCAGTCATTGAGCTCCGCCCAGACTCTGCCGCTCAGCGTCTGTGTGTGTGTCTGTGTGTGTGTGTGTGCCTGTGTGTGTGTGTGTATGTGTGCTTGTATGTGTGCCTGTGTGTGTGTTACCTTTTCCCAGCATGTGTCCCAGCGTCAGGAGCCTCTCTGGGATCAGAACATCCTGCAGCTTGTTTTTTAAGTCGTCATTAATACCAAGACTGTCCACTGGAGGGAGACACACACACACACACACACACACACACACACACACACACACACACACACACACACACTGAAATTGTAGAAACAGATTTTTGAATAAAAAACAGACAAACAGCGACATCATTGGTTCTTCACTTTTTTAGAGACTACATTTCCCAGAATGCCGTTCTCCTTCAGTGTCTGCTCTCTCTGACTGAGGAGATCGGGTTTTAATTCTTACACCTGTTTTTTTAAAGCTCACTCTTCATACGACCGGTCAGTCAGTGGTTTGTTGTTCATGAAGACGGCTGCTCTGATTGGCTGAGAGTCGGCAGGTAAATACAGGTGGGCAGGGTCTATCAATAAAGGCAGCTGTGTTTGGTGTAAACAGGCGGTTAAAGATCGCTCTCCGTCAAAGTGCTGAGCTGCAGCTTTACACCTCAAACATCGTCAGAACAGTGACCGGCTCTCAGCCAATCACAGCTCAGCTTGGCTTTCAGGTACTTATCACCTGAACAGGTGGACGGTCAGGCTCAACAAAGAAGGATTGGAGGTGGGCCGACTTGGACAGAACCAGGTAAACAGGACCGGGCTCTGATCCAGGGGGACGTGCTGGAATAACTGGGAGGGGCTTGGGAAAGTGGGCGGTGTCAGACACTTAATCACGCCGACGGTTCTGGAATCAAGGCCAAGATTCCGAGATGATCAACTTTACGAACTCGAGTTTCAGTTCCGATTTAAAAAACTCGAAAACTGAATTTTTTTACTTCAACATGAAGTTTCAAAGTTTAAAACATCAGATTTCAGTTTTAATCTCAAAGTTTTATTATGAAAAACAAACAAACAAAAAAAACAAAAAAACTGAAAATATTTAAATAATAAAAATATTTTATTTCTTAAAGCTGCAGAGACTCACGTGTCGACTCCTGAGGTTCTGAACAGGTTCTGTTGAAGGAGCGAGCCGCTGTGAACGACACCGAACTCTCCGGACCTGGAGGCTTAAAGACAGAGCTACACACACACACACACACACATACACACACACATATACACACACACACATACATACACACACACACAGACACACACACACACACACACACACACAGACACACACAAATACACACACAGTAACACACACACACACACACACACACAAATACACACACAGTAACACACACACACACACACACACACAAATACACACACAGTAACACACACACACACACACACACACACACAGTAACACACACACACACACACACACAATAACACACACACACACACACACACACAGTAACACACACACACAGTAACACACACACACAGTAACACACACACACACACACAAATACACACACACACACACACACACACAGGTTTGAGTTCTTTTAGCGTCTTTTTTTTTTGCTGATTTTAAAGTTTTTTTTTTCGACGATTTAAAAAAAACAAAAATTTTTTTTCAAACTTTGATCCTTTTTTTTTTTTGATCCTCAGGAGTTCGAAGTTCTTTGGAGCGGTTCTGACCCGGTGCCTCTTACCCAAATTGAGTCTCTTTTTCACGGCGCTGAGCGAAGATGGTCAGCAGGAGGCCGACCACGGACGCCACCAGGAGGCCCAGCAGGAGACCCACCCACATGTGGCTCCTCTGGACCGGGACCTGGACTGAGGGACCAACAAGAACCAATCAGACTGCGAGGATGACAAACATGACTCCACCCCTTAATCAAAACCCCGCCCCTAAACCATGACCCCGCCCTTAAACAGACTCCACCCCTTTAACATGACTCCACCCTAAAACTTGACCCCGCCCTTAACCAAGAAGGTCGTCTCACCTGAAACAGGAAGAACCAGAATCGGACGACTCCACGGTCCACAGCCAACGGAGGTGCAGGCCGACACCTGGAGGGAGGAGTTAAAGAAACGACCTCCTCCTGCCAACTGGGCCCAGTTCTCCTTAAACAGTAAAGGCTCCTGCAGGAGGAGGAGGAGTCAGAGAGAGAGGAGTCAAAGAGAGGAGGAGTCAAAGAGAGGAGGAGTCAGAGAGAGAGGAGTCAGAGAGAGAGAAGTCAAAGAGAGGAGGAGTCAGAGAGAGAGGAGTCAGAGAGAGAGAAGTCAAAGAGAGGAGGAGTCAAAGAGAGGAGGAGTCAGAGAGAGGAGGAGTCAAAGAGAGGAGGAGTCAAAGAGAGGAGGAGTCAGAGAGAGAGAAGTCAGAGAGAGGAGGAGTCAGAGAGAGAGGAATCAGAGGAGGAGTCAGAGAGAGAGGAGTCAGAGAGAGAGAAGTCAAAGAGAGGAGGAGTCAAAGAGAGGAGGAGTCAGAGAGAGGAGGAGTCAAAGAGAGGAGGACTCAGAGAGAAGAGGAGTCAGAGAGAGAGGAGTCAAAGAGAGGAGGAGTCAGAGAGAGAGAAGTCAGAGAGAGGAGGAGTCAGAGAGGAGGAGTCAGAGAGAGGAGGAGTCAGAGAGAGAGGAGTCAGAGAGAGGACAAGTCAGAGAGAGGAGGAGTCAAAGAGAGGAGGAGTCAGAGAGAGGAGAAGTCAGAGAGGAGGTGTCAGAGAGAGGAGGAGTCAGAGAGGAGGAGTCAGAGAGAGGACAAGTCAGAGAGAGGAGGAGTCAAAGAGAGGAGGAGTCAGAGAGAGGAGAAGTCAGAGAGGAGGTGTCAGAGAGAGGAGGAGTTAGAGAGAGGAGAAGTCAGAGAGAGGAGTCAAAGAGAGGAGGAGTCAGAGGGAGGAGAAGTCAGAGAGAGAGGAGTCAAAGAGAGGAGGAGTCAGAGAGAGGAGAAGTCAGAGAGGAGGTGTCAGAGAGAGGAGGAGTTAGAGAGAGGACAAGTCAGAGAGAGGAGTCATAGAGAGGAGGAGTCAGAGGGAGGAGAAGTCAGAGAGAGAGGAGTCAAAGAGAGGAGGAGTCAGAGAGAGGAGGAGTCAGAGAGAGAGGAGTCAGAGAGAGGACAAGTCAGAGAGAGGAGGAGTCAAAGAGAGGAGGAGTCAGAGAGAGGAGAAGTCAGAGAGGAGGTGTCAGAGAGAGGAGGAGTCAGAGAGGAGGAGTCAGAGAGAGGACAAGTCAGAGAGAGGAGGAGTCAAAGAGAGGAGGAGTCAGAGAGAGGAGAAGTCAGAGAGGAGGTGTCAGAGAGAGGAGGAGTTAGAGAGAGGAGAAGTCAGAGAGAGGAGTCAAAGAGAGGAGGAGTCAGAGGGAGGAGAAGTCAGAGAGAGAGGAGTCAAAGAGAGGAGGAGTCAGAGAGAGGAGAAGTCAGAGAGGAGGAGTCAAAGAGAGGAGGAGTCAGAGAAGAATATTTAAAGACTAATGGGGAGTTTGGGGAGTCCGGAGATTTTGGGGAGGAGTCAGTAGAAAAAACAATCAAAGACAGGAAGTCCAAATGGAGTCAGAGGGGAGGAGTCTGAGGATCAGGTGACCATCAACAGATCACCTGATTGGCTCATAAGGACGAACACTCACTTGTGGTTCTCCTCCCAGAGTCCATTGCATCTTGTACGCCAGCAGCCTCCCCTGAAGCTCCTCCTCTGTTAGCTCCGCCCAACTCAGACTAAGCTCCGCCTCTGACAGCGAGAAGGTTAGGTTCCTGGGAGCCGTCATGGGAACTACAGAAGATCATCAGCTGTTAGCTCGACCAATCAGAGAGCAGAATGTGGCAGACAGATACACACCTGTGTGTGTTTGTGTGTGTGTGTTTGTGTGTTTGTGTGTGTGTGTGTGTCACTGTTATTGTTTATTATTCTTGATTTTCAATTTTTTTTTGTTGTTTAAGAAATAAAACAGTGTTTTTATTTTTTCATGTTAATTATCATTAATATTATAATAATTAACATTTTCACAAACATTATCAGTAAAACAATCATTTTAATAAAAGTGATTATTTTTGTTACTTCATTAAAATTTATTATAATATTGATACCTATAACAACAATAATAATCAATAATCAATAATCTTTAAACTCTTAGTGGAGCTGATGATGATGTAATCTGAGGTCAGAGTTCAATGTGCCGCCCGCAGGGGGCGCCGCAGAGACAGAGAGAGAGAGAGAGTGTGAGAGAGACGTCAGATTAAGAGACGAACAAAAGCTGATTGTACAACGAGGACGGAGACACACACACACACAAACACACACACACAGACACACACACACACACAAACAGACACACACACACACACACAAACACACAAACAGACACACACACAAACACACACACAAACAGACACACACACAAACACACACACAAACAGACACACACACAAACACACACACAAACAGACACACACACAAACACACACACAAACAGACACACACACAAACACACACACACACAGACACACAGACACACAAACACAAACACACACACAAACACACAAACACAAACACACACACACACACACAGACACACACACACACACACACAAACACACACACAAACAGACACACACACAAACACACACACACACAGACACACAGACACAAACACACAAACACACACACACACAAACACACACACAAACACACACACAGACACACACACACTCTCTCCGCCCCTCCCCCCGCAGAAAAGTTTTCATTGATCGTATTGATCCGATCAGTTCAGTTCTCCATGTATCAATCAACCAATCAGAGTACAGCTGACAGGGGAAACGCCCCCAATCAGCTGACTGTTAACTGAAGCATCAGGTCACCTGACTCAGGTGTCTGCAGGTGGAGCCAATGGGAGAAGGGCGACGCCCCCACCTCGTTAACACAGGAGACTCTGACGCTGTAGTTACTGTGACTCCTCAGACCCCACAGGACGCTCAGGTGAGGAGGAACCTGCACCTCCTGCTGGGGGAGGTCCAACCGACGAGCCGCCCGCCGGGACAGCTGGGGGGGGGAGGAGGGAAGGAGGAGAGAAGGAGGAGGGAAGGAGGAAGGAAGGAGGAGGGAAGGAGGAGGGAAGGAGGAGAGAAGGAGGAGGGAAGGAGGAAGGAAGGAGGAAGGAAGGAGAGGTTTAATGAACTGTTAATTTAATTTATGTTATGCAAGTGTGTGTGTGTGTGTGAGTGTGTGTGTGTGTGTTTGTGTGTGAGTGTGTGTGTGTGTGTGTGTGTGTGAGTGTGTGTGTGTGTGCGTGTTACCTGGATGATACAGGTGGAAATCTCAGCATGTCCTGAAAAACCAGGTTTCCATGACAACGTGACGTTGTTGTTGTTCATCCTGATAACCTGAAGCTCCACGGGTGCCGCCGGCAACACTGGGATACAAACACACATGACCTAAGCCCCGCCCCCTTCACTTTCACACCAATAACAACTCACAACATCACAGCAGGTGTGTGTGTGTGTGTGTGTGTGTGTGTGTGTGTGTGTGTGTGTGTGTGTGTGTGTGTGTGTGTGTGTGAGATTTTTGTCGTTTACCTTTGATGTGAACACTTCCTGTTCGAGACACAGAGATCCCTCTGGTGTTCTTCGCTTCACAATAAAACTTTACACTGCTGTTCACACCTGAGACGGAGGACAGGTGAGACACAGGTGAGACAGGTGAGACACAGACAGGTGAGACACAGACAGGTGAGACACAGACAGGTGAGACAGGTGAGACACAGACAGGTGAGACACAGGTGAGACAGGTGAGACACAGACAGGTGAGACAGGTGAGACAGAGACAGGTGAGACAGGTGAGACACAGACAGGTGAGACACAGACAGGTGAGACAGGTGAGACACAGACAGGTGAGACAGGTGAGACACAGACAGGTGAGACAGGTGAGACACAGACAGGTGAGACAGAGACAGGTGAGACACAGGTAAAATAAAATTAATTACATATTTTTTTATCTTTAAATGTTTTTTGTTCTTTTTTTTTTACACAATATTTCAGTCCAGCACTACAGTTCCCATAATGCACCTCTCAGCAGGTGAATTTCTCACCTTGCACCTGGAGGACAGAAGGAGACGGTCTGGGATCTCCCTCCTGGATTCCCCCCAACCACCACAACACCTCCACGGGTTCAGGTGGGCCGACCGCCGCACAGGTGAGGTTAAAGGGCGCGTTAGGAAGAGTCGCCACGTCCTGAGGCTCGACCACGAAGTGAGGGACACCTGGAAGACAGGGAGGCCGCTCAGGGGCAAAGCATGATGGGAAAACTGCTGCAGAGAGGACACCATGTAAGATATGGACTACTGAGGAAAGGAGACTACTGAGGAAAGGAGACAACTGAGGAAAAAGAGACAACTAAGGAAAGGAAACAACATAGGAAAGGAAACGACGGAGGAAAGGAGACAACTTAGGAAAGGAGACAACTTAGGAAAGGAAACAACATAGGAAAGGAAACAACATAGGAAAGGAAATGACTGAGGAAAGGAGACAACTTAGGAAAGGAGACAACTTAGGAAAGGAAACAACATAGGAAAGGAAACAACATAAGAAAGGAAACGACTGAGGAAAGGAGACAACTAAGGAGACGGGGCGTTCGGGGTCCTCACCTTCAACGGTGATCCAGGCGGGTTCAGAGGAGAAGGTCAGACCATGGAAGTCCACCTCGCACCAGTACTGACCCGCATCCTGCTGCTGGACCGACTTCACACTGTAAAGAGGAACACATGAGACCTGAATCCCTGGACTGGACTAGACCCAGGAACTGAGCGGGTTCTAACACTGGACCCCCTTCAGCTCTAAACGGACCCAGATCGATGACTCAGCAGTTTTTTGTCCATGTGTGGAAACTGGAACCGAACCAGAACCATCCCAAGACCAGAACCATCCTGAGACCAGAACCATCCTGAGACCAGAACCATCCTGAGACCAGAACATGGTGGTTCGCCTAATCTGCCTAAATACGAACCGGACTCGAGTCACTTTGCCTTTTTACGCTGCACTGACCGTCTTCACTTGCCGTAGTTCGGTCACATGACTGCAGTTCGGATTATTCAGAAGTTCGGCTCTCAGGATTCTGCTGCGATACCTGAACGAAGTTCGGGAAAAGACGAAACTGAACGTCTTTTGGAGCGATGAGAATAAAAGCCGAACTTTCTACGATCAACCGAGACGAAAAAGTCCGTCAAGATTTTTAAGAGAAACGTCGTAATAACCGAAGGTCCGAACCTCGACTCCAGAGGACCCGTCAGAACTGAACCAGAGAACCTGGTCCTCTTGGAGACTCACAATGTGAACACAGAAAGAACCGAGTTCCTTTGGTTCTGGTCCACTTAAGGAGGACTAAGTTCGGTTCTATTAAAGAGAGTCTCAGGGAGACCCGGGACCCGGGTCCATGAATCAGAACATTTTCAAAGAACAGGACACTTCAGAACTCATGTGAGTCCACTCAGCGCCCCCTTCTGTTGGACCGATCTAATCCTGGACCAGTTTTTTAGGTCTGGTCCGGGGTCAGTTTTGGGTCTGGTCCTGGATCAGTTTTAGGTCTGGTCCTGGATCAGTTTTGGGTCTGGTCCTGGGTCAGTTTGGGTCTGGTCTTGGGTCTCTCTTAGACCTGATCCTTGTGGTCCCCTGAGGGAGTTTTCGGGATCAGCGGAGGTGAACTCGACACAAACAGACGTGTTTACACCTGCAGCCGACAAACTGGTTTCACTCCTAAATTCAGGGTCAGAAACAGGAAGACCTCCAACCTGAACCCTTCAAAATAAAAGTACTCAACAGAAAGGAACAAGGGGCAATAAGGGAGTTCACAGGGCTTTTATTGTGAAGGAAAATTGAGTTTCTGTGTTGAGTTGATTCACTGCTGAATTACTGAGTTGCCGTCTTCGTAAGTTGTCTTGTTACGATATTGCTGTCTCTCTAAATTGCTGAGTTGCTGTCTCTCTAAATTGCCTCCTCTCTCAGTTGCTGTCTCTAAATTGCTGAGTTGCTGTCTCTCTAAATTGCCTCCTCTCTCAGTTGCTGTCTCTCTAAATTGCTGAGTTGCCGTCACCTGTAGAACGTCTCCCAGTGCGTCTCTCCGAGCGTCAGGAACATCTGGTCGGTGCTGTAAAGTTTCTCGCCGTCCTTCATCCAGATGATCTCCGGTTCGGAAACGCCGAGAACGGCACAGCCGAGCCGCGCCGCGTTCCCCTGAGAAACCGTCTGATTGGAGGGATGCTTTGTAAAAACCACGCCTGCAAAGGAGGGGGAGGAGCCAACCAGAGAGTTAAGGGGGAGGGGCTAAGAGGACTGAAATCTGGTCAAACAGGAAACAAAGACTCCGATGGTGAGCCGAAGATTAACTCGATCAATAAAAGTTATTAAATAATGAGGTTTTGGTGACGGTCAATAATAACCCTGTGGATCAGAAGATGAACTTATTATTGATCTGATCAGAATTCTAGAAACTGATCAGCTCAAATATTAACGACTGTTTTTACATTAAACGGTGAATTGATAAAGGAATGAAGGAGCTCATTAATAACCTGATCACTGATCAATGCTTAATTAATAGGTAATCTGATTGAAATTAACCTTGAATATTTTATGATTAACTCATTATTGATTAGTTAAGTAGGAAGTGATTGACGACTCCGTGACCGAGTTTGTGATTAAAAACTGATTTTAGTCGTTCATCATTTATTGACAGGAAGAGATCATCTATTAGCCTCTAATCAATTTCCTCAAACAGAGACCATGCTCAGTGAGCAAAGCATGCTGGGAGCAGGCAGGCAGCCATCCCTAAAAACAACATTTCCCACAATGCCTCTGGACCGCTGTTTTTTAAACTTTTTAAAAGAACCTGAGAGAGAGAGAGAGGCGGGATTTAAACAAACTATAATGATTTAAATAATAATAATAATAATCATAACAATAATTACAATAATAATAATAACAATAATTACAATCATGACAATACAAACAATAGTAACATTAACAACAACACCAATATAATAATTATAACATTAAAAAATATGTATTAAAATTTTAACTATTATTATAATCATGATTACATTTATTATTATTTTTGTTATTTGTTTAATTTTCAGTATAAGTTTAAGTATTAGCAGTAGTAGTATTGGTAGTATTAGTATTAGTATTAGTAGAATTAGTAGTAGTTGTATTAGTCATCCTCGTAGAAGTGGTAGTATTAGTAGTATTAGTAGTTTTAGCAGTAGTAGTATTAGTAGTATTGGTAGTATTGGAAGTATTAGTATTAGTAGAATTAGTAGTAGTAGTATAAGTCGTCGTAGCAGTATTAGTAGAATTAGTCGTAGTAGTAGTGGTTGTATCAGCTGTAGTAGTATTAGTAGTAGTAGTTTTAGTAGTTGTAGTAGTAGTATTAGTCTTAGTAGTAGTGGTTGTATTAGCAGTAGTAGTATTAGTAGTAGTAGTTTTAGTAGTTGTAGTAGTAGTATTAGTCTTAGTAGTAGTGGTTGTATCAGCTGTAGTAGTATTAGTAGTAGTAGTTTTAGTAGTTGTAGTAGTAGTATTAGTCTTAGTAGTAGTGGTTGTATTAGCAGTAGTAGTATTAGTAGTAGTAGTTTTAGTAGTTGTAGTAGTATTAGTAGTCTTAGTAGCAGTATTAGTCGTAGTAGTAGTGGTTGTATCAGCTGTAGTAGTATTAGTAGTAGTAGTTTTAGTAGTCGTAGTAGTATTAGTAGTCTTAGTAGTAGTGGTTATATCAGCAGGATACGTGTAAATGTCTCTGGGAGGTTTGAGGTAAATCAGCAGATTTTTCATCAGCTGATCAGTTTGACTGTTTGATAAACTTTGATTCTGTTATTTAATGATTTTAAACTGAATTCAGTTAAAGTTTTAGAAACTTTGTTGAACTTTTTATTAAAGATAAAGTTTGTGTATTTGTGTTTTTCTAACAGCAGGTGGACCTGAGCTGCATACCTGCCAGGATCAGACCTTCAGCTCTGCACTTTGGCCGCTGAGCTGAGACTCTCTGCACCAAACCCCCTTCAGAAACCAGCAGAAACAACAAACTGGAGTCTGTTCGACCTTTTCTGCAACACTGAGGTTATTTTGATAGAATCTTCACTTTTAATTCAGTTTGGTTAAGAATTCGACTCAAGGCAGAAAAAAGATCTTAAATGTTTTTAACTAAACTCAACTTTTAACTGTAGCACAGTTAAAACACACAGGGTTTACCAGAATACTGTCCAGATTAAAGCAGCATTGATGATTAAAGTGACCTTTACAATGCAGCAGTTCAATGAAGTGAATACTAACTGTGTGAGAATACTGACTGAGGTTCAGTCTGCTCCTGTCAACCCTGTTTAACTCCGTTTTTCACATGATTTTCTCCTCAGTCTGACGGTTTTAACCCGCCGGGAGTTTATTCGGGTTTCAGGCTGACTAAAAACTTTTATTTGGATTTTTTTGCAGAGAAGTTTGTCCACCTGAAACACCGAAGACTGGGCCGCAGGTTTACCAATGAGAGGACACTCACCGCTATCACAACTCCCCACCAAACTCCGAAAGAAAAATACCGAAATCCACAGAATCAGCTTCATGCTGACATTGTTCCCGACAGAAAATCCACACAACCCTCATTCACACTCTCCGGCTCCGATCGGCTCGGTTCGGCTCCGCTCGGCTCCCTGCCCCCTCACTGAAGCCTCATTTCCAGTCGGACAAACAGTTCGTTCCTCCGATAAAAGAGGAGAATAAATCTCTGAATTTGTCTCTGAGGTTTGGTTTCTGTGGAGCTGTTGGATCCGGTGAAGATCATCAAAGTTCAGATTTTAATCCCGAAACAAAAAAAACAAAAAGTTTGTTTTTTTTTCACGCCGCATTTCTTCACGCATCCCTATGAGGCGGCGAAGTCACACACACAAACACACACACACACACACACACACACACACACACACACACACACACACACACACACACACACACACACACACAAAACCGGAAATGCCTTCAAAATAAAACCCTGAAATAAAGCCTAAACAATACCGTTTTTGTCTGAATCTGTTCATTATTATTGTAATTTTTGTAGTTGTTATATTTTTGTTTGTAGATTTTTGAAAAGGTCATTAAAATATAAAGTGAACTTTAAATCCTTATGGTTGTTATTTCCAGGTTCATGAAGGTTTTATTGTTTTTCACTCCAGTTTGTTGGTTTAATTCTCTGTTTATCTCAGTTCATGTTTCTGTAGTTTTACCTGTTTGACTTTGTAAAATCCACATGATGATAATAAACTAGAACAAACCTTTAAAATAAACTTGATCATCTTTCTTAACTTCACTTTATTAAAAACATGATTAAAAAAAGATAAAAAGTCTGTTAAAAAGTTTTATGATAAAAAATAAATTATAATTTTTAGACTTAAAGGAAAAAAAAGTTACAAAGAAAAAAAAAACAGGAAGATTTTCCCGAGAGAAAAGTGACCCATGAGGAATGTCGAGGGGGAGGAGCTACAGGTGTGTGTGTGTGTGTGTGAGGAGGTCAGGGGGGAAGGCTGAGACTGAGCATGATCGCCACCTCCTGGTCTGATTAATTGTAGTTTATTTTATATTTATATTATTTTACTCTCTACATTCATCTGTAAAAATCAGTTAAAGTTCGTTAATTTGGATAATTAATTAAAGCAGAACTCAGAATTTAAAACTTGAGTTTTAATTAAAAATGAACTTAAATCCTTTAAATGCTCAAAGTGTCACGAGTTTTTATATGTTGATTACCCAGAATCCTCCTCTGGAGACTCTTCAGTGTCTCTGAATCACGTCTGCCGATGTTTTAAAGCGGGTGAGAAACAGAGTTACCTGTGACCAGGTAACCCGTTAAAAACATGTTTATATTTCAACAACAGTGAGTCCAGACGGAGTTTAGTGTGAAATGTTCCTTTAATTTTAATAAATACCTTCATAGAAGAACAAACAGTTTCTGTTAGCAGAGAAGAAAAACACTCAGTTTTAACAGTGAAGAAAATTAAACTTTTCAGGAGTTTTAAACACGAGTCGATCGGGTCGAAATGATCATGTGACCAACGTTCTGGAACAACGAAGGCGTCCGAGTTTGAACTTCAGATTCTCTCTGAAAAAAAAACTTCAAACTGAAATTAAAAAATTTTTTTTTACGTCTTTGAAACAAAAAAACTCAAAAGCCCAAATGTCCTTTTCTGTCCTCTCTGTGTCCTCTTAGACTCTGTCTATTAGATTCACCTGAGACGTCTGTGTCTGTCTCTGTCTCTCTCTCTCTCTCTCTGTCTCTCTGGGAACAGATTCAGGGTCTGGGCTCAAACCGGGTCAGGAGTCCTGGGTGGGCGTTCTGGGGGCGGGGTCCTGGCTGAGTGTGGTCTTTAATTTAAGCAGCAGCTGTGGTGGGCGGAGTCTCCTCTTGCTCCGCCTCTGGGTGGAGCTAGGACAGTCAACTCATGACTTTGTGTCTTCAGGCAAACTTCTTCTTGGTGGCCGTGAAACGTTCCATGTACTGAGGAGGACAAAAAGACACGATGAGAGACCGCCAGAGACCATCAGAGACAATGAAAGACCGCCAGAGACCATCAGAGACAATGAAAGACCGCCAGAGACCATCAGAGACAATGAAAGACCGCCAGAGACCATCAGAGACAATGAAAGACCGCCAGAGACCGTCAGAGACCATCAGAGACCGCCAGAGACCGTCAGAGACCATCAGAGACCATCAGAGACAATCAGAGACAATCAAAGACCGCCAGAGACCGCCAGAGACCATCAGAGACCGCCAGAGACCGTCAGAGACAATCAAAGACCGCCACAGACCGTCAGAGACCGCCAGAGACCATCAAAGACAATCACGGCCCACCATATGTGTTTTGACCAGCAGGGGGCCCCCTTCCGTCCCGGTCTGGTTCTTGAAGGTCTCACCTTGTTGTACCCGTCCAGGTCCTGAAGCTTCTTGACCTCAAACAGGTTCCCTTCCACCGTGAACAGGGACACCTGAGAGTCCTTCAGGACGGACTCTGGGACAGAACCCAACTCCAGACAGTTCTCCTCCAGACGGAGGACCTTCAGACGGGGACACCGAGAGACCTCCGGGGACAGGACCGAGATCTGAGGAAGAGAGAATAGTTCTTTTTTAAAAGTTCTGGTCTTCATTCTGGACCACCAACACCCCACCCCCGGTCTAGACCCGGTCCGTCTCATAGAGGATTTGGACCTGAGGTACCTGGTTCTGGTTCAGGTTGATCTCGATGGCCTGCAGGGCCGAGACCTCTGAGGGGACATTCTGGATCTTGTTGCGGGACAGGTCCAGCAGGTCCAGCTGCCTCAGGGTTCCCAGTCCAGACGGGAACTCCGTGATGTGGTTCCCAGAAAGGTTCAGGGTCCGCAGAGCTTTGAGCTGGCCCAGGGAGTCCGGGATCTGAGAAATCCGGTTCCCGTTCAGACTCAGAGTCTCCAGTTTCTTCAGTTTGGAGATCTCAGCAGGAAGACCCGCTGGGGGGACAAGACAAAAACCAGGATCAGGGTCAGACCACTAAACCTGGATCAGGGTCTAAAGTTAAGACCTGAGTACCCCCCCACCATCAAGAACAGTCAGTTTAACTCAGAATCAATCAATCAATCAATCAATCAATCAATCAATCAATCAATCAATCATCCTGATCACTTTTTAAACTCAGGATCGATTTAAAGTTTTTCTGTTCAATATTGAAGAAATATTTATTGATTTTCTCAGTTATTGATTATTGATTATTGATTATTGATTTCTGACGACAGGAAAATAAGATCCTGTTTCCTCGCAGCGTCTGATTGGCCGTCTCTGTTTCCTGCTGAGTGAAAGCTCGTCTCTGATTGGCCGTCTCTGTTTCAAACACTCACTCAGTCTGTTGGCGTTCAGCGTCAGACTCTTCAGCTGCAGGAAGTTCCCGATGGCGGGCGGTAAAACCTCGATCTTGTTCCCGGACAGATCCACGGTCCTCAGGTTCGCCGTGAGTCTCTGCAGCTCCTCTGGGAACTGGACCAGAACCAGAACACAAACAACAGGGTTAACGGGCCGCAGTGAAGAACTGAGTTCTAAAGGTGATTCTGGGTCCAGAGTCCAGTCTGCTTTTAATGAGGATCAGGACCATCCAGTCCTGGTTCTGGTTCTGGTCTCTTTAGTTCTGAGATGATCTGGTCTTCTGTTCGCTCACACAGAGTCCTGAACCGCTGACAGACTCCGCCTCTCTGTCTTGGACCCGGTCATGTGACTAACCCGTAGAATGTATCTAGAACAGACGCCGTCTGCCTCCTCCTCTCTCTGAGAACAGCGCCCTCTGGTGACAGGCTGCAGTATAGGTCCTAAACCCCGCCTCCTTATGGAGCTGTGGACAAACTTTCTAAATGAATGACCCAGAATATAAATGTTTCTCCCCCCTGGTTGTGATGTTGACATGTAGTTACTGTCAGACTGGTTTGTGCTCAAGTCCTCTTTTTTCTGTACAGCTCCATTTTTAAAAGTTATTAGGGGGTTCATGTTTTCTTTGATTGACACCTGATACAGCCAATGGGAGGACAGAGATTGAGTAGATCACCGGGGGATACGCTGTTTGATCAGAGCGTCATCACAGAGACTCTCGGCGACTGCGAACATCGTTACAGCACAGCGCTGGTTTCAGGAAATGAAGAAAAATCGCGGAAATACCGACAAATTTTCAGCTTCAAATCCGTAAACTGGCGGGAGGCGGAGCCAGAGTATCAATACAGTCTGTGGACGAACCTGATTGGTTGTTGCTTCATCAGATTTAAATCAGTAAATTATAATTTAACAAAGTTTTTGACGAATTTGGATCAAATTTAGTTACCGATGATCTCTGTGTGTGTGTGTGTATAAAGTGTGTAGTTGTGTGTATAAAGTGTGTAGTTGTGTGTGTATATAGTGTGTAGTTGTGTGTATAGTTGTGTATTGTGTATTAGTGTCTGTTACCTCCTGTAGTCCCTTGTCCGTCAGCTGGAACACTCCGGTCTTTTGTGACGTTTCCAGGTGAGACTTCAGAGCGCTGTTCCCCATCTGGACCTGCAGGTACGAGCTCACCTGGACTGTGTGTGTGTGTGTGTGTGTGTGTACTGAGGATACAGAGGCTTAGATGTGGTCCTCCTGCTCTTCTTCGTTGGTGCTAATGAGATCAGTTAAATCCTTAAAGAGGGCTAATGTTAGCTTCATTAGCGGGTTAAAAAGCTCCAAAATAAACGAAAGTTTGAACTTTAATCTTCATTAACGTGAAGAAGCTGACGGACATGCTAACAGCTCAGAGCTAACGTTAGCTACAGTGTTTTTATGATCAGAGCTAACGTTAGCCTGTTAGCCGACACTAAAACAGATAAATTAAAGTAAAGATGTCGGTTTAACTCACAGCTGTCTGCGGAGGTTTACGGTTAGTTAGTGTAAGTTAATGATAGTTAGTGTTAATTAGGAGCTAAAATAGATAAACTCTGTAAACACAGAGGAGAGGAGACGCCTTCATAACCGGACAGAGAGCAGCTGAACCAGCCAATAGGAACACCCGACGAGGACTACGTCACTTCCTCTTCTGGTTGGACAAAATAAAACAGAAAATTAATAAAAAACTTTAAAACAGTTTCCTTTAAGAACAAAAACAGAGACTAAGAGTGACGATATTCAATGATATCTTTATTTTCTTCTTCAAACCTTCAAATTTAACAGTTTGTTCTGATTTTTCACAATAATCAACTTTACATGTTTCTAAAGGTTTAACAAAACAACGAGTACACCCCCCCCCACACACACACAGTCTGTTTCTGAACTTTATTAAGATGTTTACATGAAGACAAAGATTTTACCGTATTTATGCATTATATATGATGATGATGATGATGATGATAATCGTGATGATGATGATGATGATGATGATGATGGTGATAATCGTGATGATGATGAAGGTGATGGTGATAATGATGATGATGATGATGAAGATGATGGTGATAATCGTGATGATGATGATGATGATGATGGTGGTGATAATGATAATGATGATGATGATGATGATGATGATGATGATGAAGATGATGATGATGATGATGATGATGATGATGATGAAGATGATGATGATGATGATGATGATGATGATGATGATGATAACTCATGAACGTGTTAATAAATTTCCAGCAAGTGTGTTGAGTCCGTTCAGATCATTTTATTCCTGTTCTTGTTTTATATAATAATTAAATAATTATTATTAGCTGAAATGTGGACATTCACTCGAAAAGAACAAACAGACTTTAAATGAACTTCGGTGTTTGTCACAGAGGCCAATACAGCTCCGAGTGAGTGTTTCCTTTTCTCTCCAGCAGGGGGCAGCACTCACACACGGAAGCAGCTGCTGCAGTTAAAAGTAGAAGAAGAAGAAATACAATATTTAGCGGGCTTCAGCTCTTCACTCGGACTTTTCTCTATTCCTCCGTTTTTTTTCTCCTGAATCTTTTTTAAATTGAAGGTAAGAGCAGTCTGTAAGGTTCCTCAGGTTTAACTGATCCAAATCGACACTTTAAGGTCTTTTTTTCGGTCAGATTTGAGTCTTTGCCCTCTTCTTCTTCAGTCAGGAACATAATCTGCTTTAAAAATCTTCCTATCTTCGCGTTTCTCCTGATTACCGGAGTTTTATCAAAACTTAATTAATTGTTAATAAAACATAAAGTGATAATTTTAAAGATCCGTCGGTTCGGCTGCTGGAAGGACTCGAACTGACCAGTTTTTACGATATAAATCCAGAATATATTTGTTAGAGTGTCTGTGCTCTTTTGTGTTTAAAACAGAGATTTACATTTTTATTTTCTGATAAAAATGAAACTTCATAAATAAAGACTTTTCCCAAAGTCATTAAAGTACAAATAACGATTTAACACCGAGTGAACTAGTTAATGTGTGTGTTTGTGTGTCTCTGTGTGTGTGTCTCTGTGTCTCTGTGTGTGTATATATGTGTGTGTATATATATGTGTGTGTTTGTGTGTGTCTCTGTGTCTCTGTGACTCTGTGTGTGTGTTTGTGTGTGTGTTTGTGACTGTGTCTCTGTGTGTATATGTGTGTGTGTGTTTGTGTGTGTCTCTGTGACTGTGTGTATATGTGTGTGTGTTTGTGTGACTCTGTGTGTGTGTTTGTGTGTGTGTGTGTGTGTCTCTGTGTCTCTGTGTATATATGTGTGTGTTTGTGTGTGTATATATATGTGTGTGTTTGTGTGTGTCTCTGTGACTCTGTGTCTCTGTGTGTATATATACGTGTGTGTCTCTGTGTGTGTATATGTGTGTGTGTTTGTGTGTCTCTGTGTGTATATATGTGTGTGTGTGTTTGTGTGTGTCTCTGTGTGTATATATATGTGTGTGTTTGTGTGTGTCTCTGTGTATATGTGTGTGTGTGTGTCTCTGTGACTCTGTGTGTGTCTCTGTGTGTATATATGTGTGTGTGTGTCTCTGTGTGTATATATGTGTGTGTGTTTGTGTGACTGTGACTCTGTGTGTGTGTGTGTGTGTATATATGTGTGTATCTGTGTGTGTGTGTGTTTCAGATGTGGGCTCTCTCTCCCTTCTCGGTGTCTCCAGCTGCTGCTCTCCTCTCCAGGTGTGTCTCTAAAGGAACCGTGTCTCAGGTGAGTTTACCTGCAGGATGAATTCTGGGACATTTTTTAAAACCTTTTATTTTATAAAGTTTTTCTTTTATGACAAAATCGTTAATCAGCTTCCTGTACTCAGGAGGAGATTGACTCCGCCTCTTCAGAGCTAAGCCCCGCCTTCTCCCCTCACCTGCATGAGGTAGAAAATGGGATCCGATCACAGAGACACCTGGACGAGGTAAAATAATCGCACCTGGAGTTAAAGAGTTCATTTATTGACGCTGCGGAAAGTTTCCTGATCAGGTTTATTGATACTGAAGCTGCCTGTTGAAAACGACACTCACTGATATTGATCCCACTCAGGCCTGTTTTTATTGTTTATTCACTTTAACGTTTGTCTAATTACAACAATTTAGAAATAAATTTAAAGTCAAATTTAGAAAATCCACCAGATCAGAAAAACTTCAATAATCAGATTTAATAAGATTCTCTGTTTGTTTGTTTGTTTGTTTGTTTGTTTGTTTGTTTGTTTGTTTGTTTGTTTGTTTGTGTCAGCTGCGACTGGAGGCGGAGCTTCTTAGGTCAGAGAAGAAAAGTGCCGACTTCACGCACACCTTTCACCTGAGTGAGTCTTTGGGGGGCTAAAAAAACCAATAAAACATGTTTTTCTCTGTTTAATCGAACAGAAACTCGTCTGATCTCCGTTTTTAATCCAGTGAATTCTGTCAAATGTTTCTATGTGGAAATATTTGATATTTACCTGAAACACGTTTGATCACATTCAGAGAAACCTTCAAACTCAGATTTACTTCATTTTGTACTTCTGTCATTTTGTTTTCCCTGTTCTGTTAATAATCCTAATTCTGTTAAATATTTATGATAATAAACAATAATAATAATAATAATAATAATAATTAGGAGAGTGATTTCATAGACGTTAGTCTGTCTAAAATCTCTTCGACTGTTTCTGGTTTTTCAGGTTTTTTTCTCGAGTTTTAAAGTTTTTTCTTCTCGTCGTGTTTCAGAAAAAATCAGTCGGTCGACTTTTATTTTTAAAACAAAGTAAAAAACTGGACTGGACCAGACTCTATTTACAAAAACCCGGTTTAAAGATCAGACCCACTCGGATCCGTCTTCAACCACAGGAGTGAAAGAGGAAGAACTTTAACAGGCAGAAACCTCGAGCAGAACCAGAACCCTAACCAGACTGATGTTAGACCCTCATCTGCTGAGACTGAGCCGGGTTTAGAGAGCCGGATCAGAGGTTCTCCTGGTTCTGGTCAGGACTCGGGCTGCAGCGTTTTGGACCATCTGAAGAGTCTGTAAAGACTTGACGGAGCTGCAGCTCCTTTTAGTGGTTCTGAACGAAGTTTTTATGAAATCAGTAAGAAAAGGAACACGAGACCCTGATGTGGAGTTTTCAGAACTTTGACAAACAGAAACTCTTTAAAAAATCTCAGTTTTATTTCTTTATTTCACCTTCATGAGTTTTTGTCTTTTTCTCGTTTAGTTCAGAGACGGTTTGACTTTGATAAAGTTTTAAAACAGTTTCTTCTTCTCTGGTCTGCAGCTCGCAGGTTTCACCTGCTGCAGGTCTTCTGTGCTCACCTGACGGACGTCCTGAGAGACCAGAACAGTCTGAGACAGAGACTCATGAGACCGCTGGGCCGGACCAACCTGCCCGTCCAGGCTCACCTGCACAGGTACCTCCTGTCGGCTCATCGTGGTTTTTTCAGACATGCTCAGTAGAGACTCGAATACACTGGTCCTGTGTGTGTGTGTGTGTGTGTGTGTCTGTGTGTGTGTGTGTGTGTGTGTGTGTGTGTGTGTGTGTGTGTGTCTGTGTGTGTGTGTGTCTGTGTGTCTGTTCTGTAGGTCTGTGATGGACTTGGTGTCGATGTTACTGGACTTCATTTGTGTTCTGGAGGAGAACCTGAGTTCAGTCCGCTGCAGCCCCGACACCAGAGACCGCCTGGATCAGCTGGTAGGTCACATGACAACAATGTCGTCAATCTGATCAGCTGACCGTCTGCGTCACTCGGACCTCCTGTCACATCAGTAAAAATGTAAAAAAAAACTTTTTTGTTTCATTAAAACAAATTTATCAATAAAAAAAACTTTCATAAGAATTTAATCTTAGAATTAACCTTTTAATTAAGCAGAGGTCAGAGGTCAGAGGTCATTCCGGAGGGCCAAGTTTAGATATCAGGTTCAGAAGCTTCAGTGGAAGTCATTAAAACCCGAGGTCGGACCACCTCCCCAAAAACCTCTCTGTGGGCGTCACCCGGCGAGGAGGCAGACGGCGTCCGTTCTATCGACAGTCGGTGATCACATGATCACAACACACACATTAATGTAATGAGGAACAAACATGGCGGACTGTGAAGCACGATAACAAATCAGCAACGCCTGGCTGAGGGTGCGAACCCATCGATTTAGTCAGTGATTCAACATTTCCTAAAAACACACACACATGAACACACACACACATAAACACACACACACGAACACACACACACACACACATAAACACACACACACACACAAACACACACACACACACACATGAACACACACACACATGAACACACACACACATAAACACACACACACGAACAGACACACACACAGACACACACACACACACACACACACACACACACACACACACACACACACACACACGAACACACACATAAACACACACACACATGAACACACACATGAACACACACACATAAACACACACACACACATAAACACACACACACGAACAGACACACACACACACATGAACACACACACACACTCACGAACACACACATAAACACACACACATAAACACACACACACATAAACACACACACACACACACACAAACACACACACACACACACACACACACACACACACATGAACACACACACACACACACATGAACACACACACACACACACATGAACACACACACACATAAACACACACACACGAACAGACACACACACAGACACACACACACACACACACACACACACACACACATGAACACACACACGAACACACACATAAACACACACACACATGAACACACACATGAACACACACATGAACACACACACATAAACACACACACACACATAAACACACACACACGAACAGACACACACACACATGAACACACACACACACTCACGAACACACACATAAACACACACACATAAACACACATGAACACACATAAACACACACACATGAACATACACACACACACACACACACACATGAACACACACACACACATGAACACACACACACACACACACACACACATGAACACACACACACACTCTTCATCAGAGGTACCGAGAGTCTTCCTTCAGCCTCATAATCAGCTGGTTCTCAAAGTTCTCGGCTCATGAAAATCAGCGAGTTCTGAACTCGTCTCCTCGACTCTTCAGTTTCCTCTAATTGAGGTTGAAAACACGAAGGCGTCACAAATCACTCCTAAGTGTGTCCAACGGTCACATGATCATACCAAAATGGTGCCATGGCGGCGCCTCGGTACTTTGCTCTCAGGTTCTTGTTTTAGTTCTCTGGTGAAGGACTCAAACATGAGGTGGTCTTCTGTCTCTCCAGTTTTCAGGTCCAGGAAGTTCGTTACGGGGTCGCAGCGTTAAACGTGACTCGGGTTTTTAAGCCGAACTAACCTCACCTCTTTCTGTTTGGATTTCAGAACTCCTCGCTCACACAGTTATTGACTCATGTGGCTGAGGTCCAAAGATTGTCCAATCAGGTTCTTCGTTGGAAAGAGGTCCACAGTGGGAGCAGCATGCTGAGTGACAGCTCTATATGATGACCCTTGACCCCTGACCATCTCCTCCAGCTGGTTGGACAGACGCCATCGTGTGGGACACGAAATCTTGTCCTCGAAAAAGACTCAGGCTAACAACACGTTACTGTAGCACCTCCCACTTTAACCCGTAAACGTTATTTCGTGAACTTTGTGGTAAAATCGTATTGTGTCTCTTTTGTTTTCAATAAAGACGATTTCTCACAGTCCAGTTGTGGTTTTCTTGTTGCAGCAGGAGGAGCTCAGATACAGCCCGGCGTGTGTTTCTGCAGTTTCATGTTTCAGTGAACATGAATTAAATATTTGACACATCGTTTTTAACCTCGAGTGTAAAACTGTTTTGGTTTCTGTGCAGCCAAATAAAAAAAAAGACATTTTCAGTTCTGAGCTGTGAGAACAGAGTGTCTGTAGTTTGACTTCATTTCTCAGTATCTTCAAGGTGAAGAGGTTCTCTGATCTGAATCAGGCAGAATTATTAACATGTCTGCTGATCTCCATCAATCCTTCGATGTAAAAATAACAAAATAAATGAATTTTTTTTTTTTTTATACTTTTTTTTTTTTAAATAAAAGTAAAAAAACTAAATAAAAAGTCTGTTAATATGAATTTGAAGTTTTGTGTTTTTGATCCCATAATTGCCAATTAGAATTTTATGAATTTGAATTTTAAAGATAGTTTTAATAATTTTAGCCCTTAATTCTCTTTTTAAATTTAATATGAAGTAATACTTTTGGTTTTAATGTGAAATTTTATTTTTAGCCTGCTATGGAATTAAATAATTAATAATGAATTAAAATAAATTATTAGTTTTTAAAGGGATATAGGGGTATGTGCCACTTTTGACATGCCGGTTCATTGCCTTTCCCATTGATGAACCGGGCTGAGATTTGGTCTACCCCCCCATTTTCGGGTATGCTGAATCTAGAAATACTAATGAACCAGCGATCGGACATTCCTATCAAAAGTTATGGAGAAATGGAAATTTCCCATTGAAAATGAATGGGAGCGGAAAATGGCCAAAGTCAGTGTTTCCAAGTGTTTGACTTTGTCTGGAAATGTTGAAAATGGGTTGTGAGCACGTTTCAGGCCATTTCCTGTCGTTTGAGGGTTAGCTTCTCAGAGTGCTCCTGTGTTAGGGTTAGGATTGGGGGATGACTCCCGTCTCCCTCTAAGTTATGACCCTGCTTGGGTCTTCAAGGAGTGGGGCGTGCACGGGTCTTCGCCCCACCGGACACACTCCCCTGGTCCCACTAAGAACACTACTTGTGTTTAATAAATATTGTTTTTAAGTTGGCTTTAATGGGTTGAGTTATTGTTTTTAAATATCTTACATTTTTTTTAACTGTTTTTTACACACAAACACACAATACATGAACTACACATGAACTATGTACAAACAATGTGTGCATCATTGACAACGTTTCGACCCGACTTGGGTCTTCTTCAGGTCTGTGCACACATAAGAAAGGGCTGCTGGGCACCAATTCATAGGTGTTGACAGCAGCTAAAAAAAGAAGAAATGTCCCTGTTCCCTTCTCACCTTTTATACCTTTTAACAAATAATTAACTGAATTTCTCGGATATTTTATGTTATTTTCTACTCTATTTAATTTGAAAATGTTAACCCTTTAACTGCTGATTCTTATTAATCCAAAATAATATAGGCTTAAGGCAGCATTTCTCAAAGTGTGTGGCCCGCCCCCCCAGGGGGGCGCGGAGCCATCTTTGAGAAGCTAACAAGTGGAGGGGATGCAGGGGGTGCATCTACGGCAGGGGGTGCATTCTATGGCATAACACCTGTTAAGTATGCTGCTATCCCCACCTGTACAATGTCCTCCTGAAAGTGTACAAAGACGCTTTCTGCTGTGCTAATTCATGGTGGGAAGTAGCTCAGAAACCAGGGCGGAGATAACCACCAACGCCGTGCTATGCCTCTCACATTTTTAAAAGTGGTTTCCGTAACTTTAACCCTAAGACAGAAACCAGGGTCATTTCTCTAAAAAATTTAAATTCAAAATTAAAGATTGGAATCTTTTATAAACGTTTTATTTATTATAGGTTTAACCCTAACCCTAGCCCTAACTCGAACCCTAGGTGTAACCCTAACCCAGCTCTAATATTAACCCTA